GGGCTTTAGGGTTTAGGGTTTCTTTTGGGGCATACATTCATACCAAGGGCTTGGCCCTAAACCCTAAACCCTAACCCGTGCGGTTTGTGGCTTTGGGTTTAGAGGTCAGGCTTTAAGGCGTCGCGGCTCCGGGTTTAGGGCCCTGAGGATGATGGTTCCTAAACCCTAAACCCTAAACCCTAAACCCTAGGGTCCTGAGGATGGTTCGGGCATGGCGTTGCAGCCTCAGGGTTGAAGGTTGTGCGGCTCTTAGGGAAACAAAGCCAATAGCTCGGGCTAAGGTTCGCGAACCGTGAATATAGGGGCCGGAAGAAGTAGTTGTAGTGTTTAGGGCTCAGGGTTTAGAGTTTAGGGTGTAGGGCTTAGGGTTTAGAGTTTAGGGTTTCGCGTTTGGGGTTTAGGGTCTAGCACCAAGGACTTTGCCCAGGGCTTCAAAATTTCCTAAACCCTAAACCCTAAACCCTAAACCCTAAACCCTAAACCCTAAGCCCTAAACCCTAAACCGTGAAGGAACCCGAGGGCCCTGAGGAAAACGATGACGAGATATAGATACAGCAAGCAAAGAAGTCTGGGAAACACCGTAAGTAGTTCTTCCATACGGACACCCCAAGGCCCTAAGGAAGAACTAGGAGCACTATAATTAAACCCTAAACCCTAAACCCTAAACCTTAAACCCTAAACCCCAAACCCTAAACCGAAATCACTAAAATTAGTTCTTCCGGCCCCTATATTCACGAGTTCGCGAACCTTAGCCCAGGCTATTGGGTTGCTGGCTCCTCGCGGAGATTTCCTTAAGGAACCCGAGCTCGGAGGGCTTTAGGGCTTTAGGGTTTGAGGGTTTAGGGTGTAGGGTTGAGGGTTTAGGGTTTAGGATTTAGGGTTTAGGGTTGAGGGTTTAGGGTTTAGGGTTTAGGACATAATATCATGGGGTTGAGGGGTTTAGTGGTTTAGGGTTTAGGGTTTATGGTTTAGGCTTTAGGCTGGACGGTTTAGGGGTTTAGGATTTAGGGTTTAGGGTTTACGGTTTACGGTTTAGGGTAGGATTTGAAGGGCCGGAGCATAATTGGAACAGGCTTGTAGGGTATGTAGGGTATAGCATCATCGCATAGACACTGCAAGTGAAAAATGTTTCTGATCACTCAGACGCCCCTAAGCCCTAAACCCTAAACCCCTAAACCCTAAACCACAACCATCTAAACCCTACGAAACCCCAACCCCCTTAGAGCAAAACCCCGAAAACTTTGAAGCCTGAAGGCCATCCCCAGGTTGCACAGCCTCAAAACCCAAACCTTGGGCCCCAAAACCTAAGATCCCAAAGAAGGGTTTAAGGTTCAGGTTTTAGGGATTTAGGGCTTCGGGTTTTAGGGTTTAGGGTTTAAGGTTTAAGGATTTAGGGTTTTAGGTTTTAGGGTTTAGGGCTTTGGGTTTAGGGTCTAGTATATCTCGATGGTCCAAAACTGGATGAGGGAATGTCAGCACAGCCTCGTTGGTCAAAGTGAGGCCCACCTGCTGTGCCTGAGGTTGCGGGTGTAATGTAGGGGCCAAGGTTTTAGGATTAGGGGTTCCTTATTATAATTATAGCACAGTTACCCCCAAACCCTATTCTAATTACTAAGGCCCCTATATTAATAATACGGCTTCCCCCGAAATGACTTTGCGGCATGGAGGGAGTGTCGAAACTGCCACCCCCACCCCCCCGCCCCTGAAACTAAAACCTCCAAAACCGTGAACCCTAAACCCTAAACCCTAAACCGCAAACCCTAAACCTGCAAAACCCTGAACTCCAAAACCAGTCTCAATCATGACACCTGGACCTCTGGAGCGATAATTTGCTGGAAAGCCGGAGATGGCTCATCGGGCTTGCTTGTAAGGCTTGTGGCTCATAGGGCTTAGGGTTTAGGGTTTAGGGTTTAGGGTTTAGAGCTTCGTGCCGAGAGTTTGGGGGAGTTTTAGAATGTGGTCGGCGGCTGCAGCAGCAGCACTACCACTGACTTCCTCTGTGTTCGCAATACCACCCGCGATGGAAGGAAGCATGTCCATCCTTGTTGCCATGGCGGGTCGCGACGCCTGAACTTTACATCGTTGGGGTTTAGTCTTGTTTGGTTTGCAGGGCTTGGGTTCTAGGGTTTATGGTTTCGGGGTTTAGGGTTTAGCGTTTAGGGTTTAGAGCTTAGGCTTTAGGTTGGGGTGTCAAGTTCTAGTCAGACCGGGGCTCTGATACTTTGCGGCTTACGAAGGGCTGAGCAAGGTTCTGGTTTAGGACTCCTGCGCTGCCCGGGCGACTCCAGAAGAGCCCACAAAGCTGGTCTCTGTTTCATCTTGTTCCACATGCAACAACCCTAACATCCCTTAAACCCTAAACCCAAACCGCCTAGATTTTCCCAAACCGACAACCTCAAACTGGATCGCTGTGTGCCGCGTAATCCCCTGTTTCAAACCAGGCTGAAGGCCCAAGCACCGAATAGCCTTAGCCTGTCTTCCCTTGAAGGTGCCTTCAAGGGTTCCAGAAGTTCTTTGAAGGCTTCCTTAAAGGGTTCCTTCAATCAAGAGTTCCCGTTCGGTGTTCCTTTAAGGGGCTGCTTCTGCA